GTGGATTTGGTTTTGGGTTTCGATCATAGTTTATTTGGCCTATCTGCTCCCCCGCCCCCCTTCTTTCCTTTGTTTGAGATGAACTTGTTTGTCACTAAAGACTGCAAGTTCATTTCCGTTTTCCTTTTCCTTTTTTTTGTTAAAGCCCCTCAGAATAATATTTAGGTTTGAGGGATAAGGAATCTGGAGAGATTTAAAAAATTTGTTTTTAAAGCAGCACACTGTATCTATTTACACAGCCCATCTCAAGAAATGAAGTCAACAGCAATATTCGGTCAACCCCTCCCGTCTGTGGGTCTTTCTTCCCCCCTCATCCTCCCTCCCTCCTCGAAACCCCGCCCCTCCCTCTCCCTCTTCCTGCCCCCATCCCCCGCCTCCTCGGAGTCATCAAAGTTTTGTCTTTGGGTGCATCAACCATGTTTCCTTGTTCTTATAATGATGGTGCTATTAAATATTTATCTTTGTAAGATTGCTTAAGTTTGCTAAGCATCATGTTCTCTGGCTTTGTCTGTGTCTTGCAGTGTTTAAGAGAGTCCTCGTTGTTTTTTTATTGATGCATGATATTCTAGAGTATGAATGCACTACTGCCCTCTTTTCAGGGAAGACTCAGCTCTTTCTTGGAAATTAACATTTGTAGCACAGCTCAACAGTCGGGATAAAGTGTAGGTATTTGCTCTAGCGGGCTCCCGGGATCCGTCCAGTGACCCCCAGGGGGTGGTATCGCCCACTTTGGGAAACACTGACTTGGGTTATCATTATCATTTTCAATCTGGGCTCCCTGCCATCAGGCTCTCCCCCTCCAATTTATTCTCCATGGGACAGCCAGAGTGTGCTCCCCGAATGGCCACTTTTGATCACTTCTCTCCCAGACTCAAAACTAAAGACCCACTCTTCAACTTGGCCCCCAGTGCCCCAAGCAACTGCCTTCCCCCTCCTACTCAGCTTCCCTTCTCATGGCTCCTCTTTTATCCCTTTGGCTCCAGCTGGGAGAACCGCTTGCCAGTTTCTGGGCATGCCCTAGAAGTCCCCACTGCCTGTTCTCTGCTCATGCTGTTGCCACTACTTGAAATAGCTTGTCTCTGCTATTCTAATGTACAAATCATTCAGACCCAGCTCAAGTGCTATTTGGCTTTTCCAAGAACATCAATCCCATCTTTCAGAAGGGCACATCCCTCCTTCTTTACTCTTTCCCAGGGTCATCTGTTTCTCTTTTGAGCCAACTCTCAGGAGAAGACAGGCAAGATGATGCAGAGGAAAGAGTTCAGAATCTGAAGGCAGATGATCTGAGCTGCTGACCCAGATCTCTGGCTTTGACATTTTTAAGATGTGTATCCTTAGACAAATGGAACTGTGAGTCTCAACGTCTTTCTGTAAAACGGGAGTGGTAACCCTATTGGTATCATGGCTGTGTTTCGAAGGTTAAGTTTCAGCGATGGAGTAGAAGCGTGGACACCAAATCAAGATGAATTTATAAAGCCTATCACATGGAAGGCCATGGTGGCACAGGTCAGAGCTCAAATCCACCAGCTGTTCCACAGGAGAAAGATGAAGCAGTCTGTTTCTGTAAAGATGTACCGCCTTGGAGACCCAGGGAGCAGTCTACTCTTTTGTTTTGAACCCTTTTATTGGGAGCTCCTAGAGATATAACATGACATCATCCAATCACAGTACTGTATAATTGCTACCACAATCAGTTTCAAAACATTTCCTTTCTTCGTGAACTCCTTGATATCAGCTCCCCTTTGGCTTCTCCCTCCCTCACTAGACCCCCTAGGAACCTTTACTCTTCTTTTCCCCCTATAATTTTTTGCGTGCCATGTCCTACACAATCCAAGCTACCCAGTCACATGCGATTCTGTTGTACTCTGTCGTATTAGGGTGCTGTGAGTGGGAGTTGACAACACCCCCAACCCCACAACCCGGCAGTGGGCTTTGAGTTCTTTCTCCCCGAGGTACAAAGAACTGCTGAACTACAATGCCACATTCTCCAGAAGCTTTCCTGGAGGTCTCCCACCACTGGGCTCAAAGTCCAGGGAATGTCAGCGGGGGAAGGGGCTTGTTGAGGGAAAGGGGCTTGGAGGCCCTAAAAGATCATGCCCTTGGATGAACTAAAGAAAGTAGTAGAGGGTGCACCCCCCAAAGCTAGGCACAGACTGATTTGAACAGCTATGGGTTTCTGAGCTTTTTGTATGCCCCGGCACTGGGCAGAGTAAGTTCCCGACATACATTGTCTCAGCGCATCTTCACAACGCTTTAAGCCAGGAAGTACTCCCTTACCGAGGAAAACCGGGCCCATGCAGTTACATAAATAAGGTCATCCTCCCCTCTGTCCCACACACAGCTCAGAGCTGAAAGGGACCCCGAAAACCTTCCGATTCAATATGCTTATGTGTGTGTGTTTGTTTGTATTTAGAGTTGTGTTGGTGAAAATATACTTAGCCAAGCACCTCAGTCCAACAATTTCTACATGAACAGTTCACAGACACAGGTTACATTTTTGGGGGGATGTATAACCACTCATTCTTCTTTCTCGAATTGTTCCTCCCCCCTCAACACTCACTAGCCCCTGAGGTTCCTACTCTTTCCAATTGCTGTTGTCAATTTGATCCCTTATATATAGACCTTAAAAGAGTATAATGCTCAAGACAGACATTCTTGACTAGCAGCACTAAACTATTGGTTGGTTTTAAGATGACGTTAGGGGCTATTTTTGGTTTAAAGCTTAAGGTTAAAGATACACTTTAGTTACTCAAGGAGCTGCCCATGTTGTACCTGACAGTGCCAGATCCTCCAGTCTGGTGTCCCACTGGACCCAGCTTCCTCTCATTCCAGCCCACTAAGAGTGTCTTGAGGGGCTGGGCTGCTTGCTGGGTGGGAATCCTAAGCATGCATATTGTATGGGAGAAGTGAGGGGCACCACACACTTCTTACCACTCTGGGTCCGGCTACCACCAGCTTCTGCAGTAGCTTTTTCACTGGTTTCCCAGGCCCCACACTTGGTCCCTGGCAGTTGATTCTCTACATAGCTACGACTATTCTCTACAAGGATTGTCTTAAGAACATCGTTTTAGAGGTGCATCAGCATCCATGCATTCAGAATATCTGGAGTCCGGGAGAGCTTGGCATTCTGTAAGGCTTTCCTCCCCTCCCAGTGCTCTTATTTTCAGGCAGTAAAACTAAGACCCAGAGAGGTTACGATGTTTTATTAAAATCACACAGTCAGTGAGGAGGAGCCTTCGCTTCACTCTTGGGAAAAGTCACCATACATTATGGTCCATGCAAATAGACCTTGGAGCACAATGCCATGTCCATTGGCTACAATGTGCATGGGGTCCCTGGAGTTATGCCATTTGGCCACCCTGCTTCTGGCCCATGCTGGGCTGACTGTTCACCCTACTCCAGGAAACTCTAGAGGCAAGAGCCTCATACCCTAGAAGCTGAACATCTCCCTTCTTGCTAGGCAAGGGAGTCTCTCCAAGTGACTAACCTCATCTACTCACCATCCAGCCTCCACGCACTTGTTCCAACAAACCTCCGGGGCACCCTCTTCAGGCCAGGCACTGGGCTCAGTTCAAGGGACACCCATTGCCCTTGAGGGACCTTGTCCTGGGATACCACCTGAACTTGGGAGCTCAAGCTTCTCAAGAAGTTTTTGAGAAATACCAAGAGGCCATACTCAACAAACACCCTGGAGAAAGAGGTGGCTCTGCATAAAGGACTTGGGGACCTCCCTAAGGAGCAAGGAGAGGGGCTGGAGGGCAGAGCTGTTTTAGAGGGGGCAGGCTCCACGAACAGGCCTGGGCCCTTAAGGAGGAGGGAGAGTGACTGTCAGGATGTGAAGTCAGGTCTAAGTGGGGCTAAGGATGAGCCCTTCTGTGTCACTGATGGCCCAACTAAGGTCACTGATGGAGATCTGGAACGGAAACACTCTATCCGGGACTATTTCGATCCCCAAAACAAAATCCTGAACCTCAAATACTTGTATAAGAGAGCTAGCTCTCTTTGAGGCTGAATGCACATTTTTTAATTACAATTTTATTTTTAATCGTCAGGCAGCAAATGAATGGCATCTGCAACTCCAAGTGAGGGCTGGGTGGGAATTACCAAGATTTTTTCCAGTAATACTTGGGTGGTTTTTCGGTTCCAGGACTTTGGTAGGGATTGGGTCGAATTGTGTATTGGTTGTGTCCGAGAATGAGCACGAAAGTCGGACAGATCCTAGATACTAGTGCAGGCTCTGCCACTACCTCTCAGGTGGCCTTTGGTGAAGGGAACCTCCTTGGGCCTCAGTTTCCCCATGTGCAAAATAAGGCGGTTAAATGAGCTCTCCAGGTTCCTCTGGTAATCATCGTCTGAGTTAGGATCTTCGGACACGATGATTCCTTGTAAGGCACACTGCACACAGCCCCCACGATTCGGACCCATCCCCAGCAATCTAGGGGTTTTGCTAGAGGCTGGCTTCGTTTCAGAAAAAGCAGCATACTGGGGGAGGGGAACGCGCTGGGCTCTTATCTAGGGGGTGGATGGGAAGCGGGTGGCTAAAGCCACAGCGTCCGGGGGAGACAGGAAGGCGGGAGCTGTGGTTTACAGACACCAGGTTAGCAAATGGTGACCAATCTCCCTCCCGGGAGGTCCAGACCTAAAAAAGCCATGCAGCCCAAAACCGCGCACTGGCCTGGGCCGCAGAGGCTCAGACCCGGACCACTATCCCGAGCTCTCTCTGGATCCGCGCACCCGCGTCGTAGCTTCCGCCCTCTCGGACTCCCCAGCGCCTGGCCCCCTCCCCAGCAGAGGGTCCCCTTCCCCTCCTCTGGGGGCGCTGGGAGCCCCTTGGGGGCGTGGCGGGGGCGGACGCGAGCTCCTCCACCCGGGGCAAGCGGGGCTCGCAGTGTCGGGGCTGCTCGGGCAGGGACTCCTTTGGTAGGGACCCCCCTCCCGCCCCCACGCCTTCCGATTTTCCGCTCCCCACACAAAGGCGCCGACGGAGGCGCCGCGCTTACCGGTCCGAGCGGGTCCCGGGAGCAGGCGGTCGCGCCGGCAGGCTGGCGGGAGGATGTGCGCGCCCGAGTGTGCGCGTGTCTGCGTGTGTCCCTGTGTGTGTCTGCGCGAATGTCTGTGTGTGTGACGGGGGCCGCGCCGAGCTCTGTGCGTCTGCGTGTGCGGGGGCGGCCGGCCGTCGGTCCGTCCGCCCGGCGCTCCGTCCCGCGCTCCGTGCGCGCTCCCTCGCCCGCTCGCTCGGCCGAGCGCGCTTCGGCTGCAGAATCCCGGGCTCAGCCGCCCCGCGATTCCCGGTTCTCCACCCGCCCCCGGCCCGCCCTGCTCCCCAGCGGCCCGCGCGGCTCCCCGGGAATGGCGCAGGGCCGGCGGACCGGGAGCCTCCGCCGCGCCCGGGTCCCGAGTCGGCCCAGACCGCAGACCCTTGAGCCCTGGGCTTAGGCTGGCCCCCTCTCCCCGGGCGCGGGGAGCCTCGCCGGCGCCGCCCCCCGCCCCCGCCCCGAGGCTGCCCGGCGCGGGAGGGCGGGGGAGCCGAGCCCCGCATCCATTCCATTCATGATTTTTCTTCTCCCGGAAGTCCTGGGCCCGGGCTGAGCCGCCAGGCGACCGCCAGAGGGACCCTGGCGGAGCGGGGCGGAGCGAATCCTGAGCGAGAAGGACAGACAGACCGCTGGGAGTGGGGCCAGGGAGACAAAGGGCAGTGGGGTCCGTGGAAGGGGTGGCGCGGCGCTCCCCGCACACGCCCACGCCCACACCTGCACAAGCGCAGCTACCGCATTCCGGGCGCGCACGGTGCCCGCGGCCCGGGGTCCACCCCGGTGAGCCAAGGAAGCGGCTGCCTTTTCCCTCCGCCCTGTGGAGTCTCGGGAGAAGCCCTCCTGCCCCAGGGTTTCGCGCTCTTGAGCGCACACCTGTCTCGGCTTTCCCGTGGGTACCAGGGGCCCGGATACGCAGGGAGCTGCCCAGGTCCCCGACGTCCCTACGTTCCCCAGTCTGGTGCCCCACGGGCCCCAGGCTCCAGACATTCCAGCCCCCAAGAGTGTTTTGAGGGGCTGGACTGCTCGCAGGGTGGGAATCCTAAACGCGCATTTTTACATGGAGAAACTGAGGGGCACCACCCACTGCTTACAACCCTGCTTCCAGTCACCCAGGCTGCTGCCTGGATTTCTGCAGCAGCTTCTTCGCTGGTCTCCCTGGCCCCACCCTAGGCCCCTTGCAGTGGATTGTCCACACGGCAGGCAGCGTCACCCATTTAAAACGTAAGTCAGATCATGTCGCTCTGTTACGAAAACCCTACCTTGTTCTTCGTTTTATCCGAATGCGAACAAAAGACCCTTTAATGGCCAGCTAGCTCCTCATGAGCAGGCTTCCTTTTACAACTCTGGACTCATCCCCAACCATACCCCACTGCCTCACCACACGGGACCCTTAAAGCGTCACCAGACGGACACCCACTCCATGACCTTAGGTCCTTGATGCTGCTATTCTGGCTGCCCGGAAACTCTTTCACCAGAGAGTCACACGGGGAGCTTACTTACCTCTTAAATGTGTCACCTTTAAGAAGCCTTCTTTGATGATCCTACTTCAAATTGCAGCCACCCCTCCCCGCCCATTTGTCCCTGGTACTTATAACAGCTTGGGTTTATTGGAACTTCATTGCCAGACCCCTGCTCAGTTCCTCTCCTGGCCCAGGCCTCCAGCCTCCCCAGACCATGCTGCTTCAATAAGCCCCACCATTTTTTTCTCCTCCTGGACATTGTTCATGTTGTGCCTCTAGCCTGGAATTCCGTGCTCCATCGGTTCTAAGTTTTTAAGACCCTGTTCAATACCAACACTTCTCCACGGAGCTTTCCCTCACAGCCCTGGGGATGCTTGCTCCCTCTCTGCGTTCTGAAAGCACTCTTGTTCATTTCCTTCTGTCTGCTGTGATTGGCAGCTCCTGCCTTTTCCCCACAGGTGCACTGTGGACTTCTGGAAAGCAGGCCCGTGTCTCCCCCCACCCCCACCCCAGTGCCCAGCACGAAGGTCATGCTTGTGGATTTTGAGCACTAGTTGGGAGGCTCGGGGCTGGGCCTTAGTGAGTAGTTTTTGATTTTCTGGGGTTCTTCTAGCAAGGAAAGCAGCTCAAGGTCCGACGACCAGACCACGATGCTTGGGCTGTGTGCAAAGTGTCCACGGCCACGTCAGCCAGGGCTCAAGGACCCATTATCCCTCCGTGAGACCATCATGCTCCCTCCCTCACTGTCCATTGTAAAGCAGACTTTCCCCAGCAGTGTCAGTGTAATCACAGCAGACACCGTGACCTGAGTGCGTGGTAGGTGCCAGGTCCCATTGTATGTGTCCCAGTGCACTGTTGGATGTGATCCTTATGGCAGTTTTGGAAGGTAGCTATCCTGATAGCCCCAGTGTCAGAAGAGAAAGCAGAACGTCCGTGAGAGTGTCTTTGTGTGTGTCTCAGATCCACAGCTAGCTCATTCCAAAGCCAAGCCAGGCTTGTCAACAGGGATGCTTTAACAGTGATGACCTTGGTGGGGGTGGGGGTGTAGGGGGGGGAGGAAGAGGTACCTAGGGAGGTTCAGCAGGGACGGCCTGGCCCAGAGTCTTGCTGTCCCCAGCTCAGGAGTCACAGATTCAGGGCGTGCCTGGGGGCCAGGGCCTCATTGGTTTCTGTAGTGGTGCCTTTGCTGGCTGCTGGGGAGGTCACTTATTACCGTTCCTAAAAGCCATCTCAGAAGGCTGCAGCTGCCTCGCACATCTTCCTAGTCAGGTGCTTGGGTTCATGTCCCTACTCTAGCTGTCAGATGGGAGCACTGATGTCCATCTAAAAGTGTCCTTAGTCCTTAGCAAGGACTAAGCCTGATGCTATATCTAGGCAGTAGCAACCTATTCCACACCCTTGTCATTGAGTGGATTCTGATTTATATCAACACTGCAGGATAGAGAAGCACTGCCCCATAGGGTTTCCAAGGCTGTACATCTTTACAGAGAGCAGACAGACTTCCCTATCGTTCTCCCATGGAACAGCTGGTTGCTTTGAACCCTTGACCTTTTAGTTCTCAGCTGAGCACCTAACCACTGCACCAAACTCACTGCCGTTGAGTCAATTTGGACACATAGCAAGCTTATAGGACAGACTAGAACTGCCCCTGTGAGTTTCTGAGACAGTAACTCATTACAGGAATAAAAAGTAGAAAGCCTCGTCTTTCTCCCCTGGACCTAACTGGTGTTTTTGAACTGCTAACTTTGCAGTTAGCAGCCCAGTGTGTAACCACTGCCCCAGCATTCCTAAAAATGACCCATTTTCCTTCGTCGTAGTGACTTTTGATTCTCTAAGGCGGTGTCTTAGTTATCTTGCTTTGCTGTCCCCAGAACACCACAGCTGGTTTCGACAGACAGAATTGGGTTTTCTTACCGTTTCGGAGACTTCAAATGTAGGGTGCCAGCTGTAGGGAAGGCTTTCTCTCTCGCTCAGCTCTGGAGGAAGGTCCTGGCCTCGAGAGAGCTGCTGCTGCTGGGTGATTTTCATTGTGCTTGGCATCTCTCTTCCCCATCTCTGATTTCTTAAGCGCTAACATTTTGTAAGCCATTGACTCAGGCCACCATCGATACTATTCCTGTCTCATTAACAATGACAACCCACCCACAAACGGGATTATAACTACTGGCATAGAGGTGAGGATTTCCAACAATTATTTGGGAATTGGAGGTGTGGGTGGGCACGACTTGGTCCATAGCAAGGCTGTATCTAAACTGGTCTTCTTGCTCCATCTCTGCCCATTCATCCTCTTTTTGGAGCGTTTCAGATTTCCCAAGTCTTCTGAGTGTTATCTTAGGGCATAGTTAAGGAAGGGAAGACTAACATTGATCAATGCGTTTCATAATAAGTCAGGCATGTCACTTCACTAGGAGCCCTGGCGGTGCAGTGGTTATGTGTTGGGCTGCAATGCACATGGTCGGGAGTTGGAAACCACCAGCAGCTCCCAGGGAGAAGACTGGGCTGTCTACTCCAGTGAAAGGGTTCCAGTCTCAGAAACCCACAGGCGGTCGCTATGAGTCAGCGTTGATTCAACGGCAGTGAGTTTGCTGTTTTTTCGGTTACGTCCTTGCATTCTCTCCTTTTGTGGACATAGCCTCTCTCTAGAAGGAGGAACAGTCGTGACCAATGAGGACACTGAGGCACAGAGAGGGACCTTCCCCTGGCCACAGAGCTCTCGATTTGGAAGGCAGTGAGACTCTAGACCATGTCTGACTCTGTTCCCTGAATCGGTGGCCCCACTTTGTCACCACCCAAAGCGACCCTGCTCACTTCCTGTCTCTTCTCTGCTGGGGACATTCTGTGAGGCCCAGGTCAATGAAATAGCGGTGGGCACCCTTTAACCCCTCCTGGTGGGTGCAGGAAGAGGTACTGGAAAGCGAGCAATGAGAAGGGGAAGGCAGTCTGGGTCTTGCTGTGGTTTTGGATGGACGATTGGAGATTAAAGTCAATGTTTCTTGCTTGTGGCCTCCCTTTCGTGCAGTCGCTCTGTTGAGGATGAAATGACTTGTTCTGTGAGAGTCCTCTCCTATCCAGATGTTGATTTGTTCACTTACTTATTTATAACCCACCACACCCCCCAAAGGATTGGAGGTCGCTCACCACAGGAGCAGAAACCATAAGACAATGTGAAGCATCCATCAGGATGGAGCATCAAGACCAAGGGACGACACATCACCACCCTCTGAGAGGCAAGACCAAGAGTGAATAATTACAGCTGACCTAGATTGAGTTTTTCCTATGTGAAGAAGAAGAATTTGGGTAGATGATTTCACCTAATCCGTAAGAGAGGCCTCGTCAGCTAGGTATACAGGCAGGAAGCTGAGGCTCAGAAAGATGAAATATGTTGTCCAGAGTCACACAGCTAGACCACTGAGCCACCTTTAAATCCAGTTTGACTTTGGAACCCATGCTGTGGTAGTTACATAATCTGGCATCAATTTGGGCCTTGAGGAGATTAAGAGTGAAGGGGTCGAGTCCAGTCTGTCAATCAGGTCATAGCCAATGAGGCTGCTGTGTGGGGATGGCCTTCTGAGGATTCTGGGAACTCTGGTATTTCCTCCTTGGAGGCGGGAGACACACTTTGTCTGGGCTCACTCCCTGCGAGACATCCTTGTGGAGAAGACGCATGGAGAGAGGCTGATGGAGCCAGACCTCTGGAGCTGGAGAAGCCACATGAAGACCCTTGCCAGTGCTGAGATGCTTACAATGCCACTGGATCCACAAGGCTTCCCACCCACTGGCCTGTGATCTTCCTGTATTCCGCATTATTGCATGTGTTTACTGAGTCTGAAGAGGACTTTATAGATTGGTATTGGACATATGGGCTAAAATTGGACTTAGGGACTTGATCTGGACTGGGCTGGGATGTTTTCTTAATGTTCAATGCTCTTGTATATAAAGCTCTTTCTTATACACCGATGAGTGTCTCCTCTGGATTTGTTTCTCTAGTCATTCCAGACTAACACACATCCCCATAACAGTGCCCTGCCTTGCCTTTAAGTAATGAA